TTTATGAACTCTGTATCTACCCCTGTGTCCTTAAGGGTTCTCTTCCAGAAGATTTAGTGGTTTTGTTTAAATATTTAAATTTTTGATGCATTGTGACTGTAGTTTCATGCATGGTGATAGGCATGGCTATATTTTAAGTGTTCTACATGTGGACAGCCAGTATTTCCAGCACCACTTATTAAAGAGTCTGTCTTTCTTCCAGTGAACATGTTTGGCCTCTTTGTCAAAAGATAAGGTGGCTGAGTGTGTTTGGAGTTGTGTCTGCATCTTTTAATATGTTCTGTTGATCCTCATGTCTGTTTTTTGCCAGGACCATGCTGATTTTATCACTTTGTAGTGTAATTTCAGGTCAGGGATTGTGATGCCTCCTGCCTTTTCTTTGTTGCCCAGGATTGCTTTTGATATCCTGGTTCTCTTCTGGTTCCAGATGAATTTTAGGAATGTTTTCTCTAGATCTGTCAGTATGCTTATGGTATTTTAATTAGGATTGCATTGAATCTGTATAGCAATTTTTGACAATGTTGGTTCTTCGCATCCAGGAACAAGGGATAATTTTCTATTTTCTGAAAACCTTTTTGATCTTTTTTCAGAATACTATAATTTTCCCTATATAAATCTTTTGCTTCCTCACACAATGAACTCACTGAAAGAGAAATTATTGAAACCATACCTTTCACAATAACAACCAAAAAAGTGTTGGTTTTTTGACATTTACTTGTTTGATCTGTTTTGATTTAGTTTGGTACATATTGAGATATGGGTGTAAGTTAAATTTTCTGTATGTGGATAGCCAGTCTTCTCAGTACCATTTTTTCTAAAAAGGCTGTATTTCCTTCAGTGAGTGGGTCAGTACCATGCTGTTTTTATCCCAGTAGCTTTATAATATAACTTCAAGTTTAGGATTGTGATACACCCACTGTGTTCTTTTTTCACCCAGGATTGCTTTCACTATTCTGGGTCGTTTCTTTTTCCATACATATTTTAGGATTGTTTTCTCCAATTCTGTGAAGAACATTGTTGGATTTGTGTTTTATTTATTTTTATGTATTTAGTACAGGGTCTCCCTGCACAGCTCAGACTTTCAGTGAGTCTCCTGTTTTCAGCCTCCCCAGTGCTGGGATTACAGGCATGTGACACCATGCCTGGATGCACCCAGGGGCAGGGCTGGTGCAGCATTTGATATGAGGGATTGAACCCCAGTCCCTGCGCTTGTCTAAGCAGGCACATAGTCTGTTGCACTATTTAATCATCTTCACTCTTCTATTTATACTGCAGCCTGAAGCCATCAAGTGAGCTCTTTCTACTGCATTCACAAATGAATGGGTTTCAGCTTGTATAGGGGGAATCTGGAGGGTTTCTAGCTGTAGCTCTTTCCTGCACATACGCTTTCCAAAGAGTGTCAGTGTGTCCCTACGGTGCATTTTGTTCTTTCTTTTCTCAGCCTACAGCCCACTTTTTTTTTTTTTTGGTATGGGTGATCAAACTCAGGACCTAGTACCTGCCTGGAAGGTACCTGTAGCCCACGCATTCAAGTCCCTGAGCTGGCCTCCTGTGATTTGTTCAGTTGCCTGCCTGTGAGTGAAGGGACTTGGGGACTGCTGAACCCTCCTCTCTGCTGTGGACGACCTTCAGTTTAACTTTGTTTCACTTCTGTGGGCGTGGCTGCAAGAGGTCTCTGCCTCAGTCTTGTGATTAGATATCTTCACTTAAGTCAGGCTGTCTCCCTCCCCTCCTGGCTCTTTGTATAAACTCTGCAACTCCTCAGTGTTTTATAGCTTTCCTCTCAGTCTTGTCCTCCACTCTGTACATTGTTACCATCCAGCCTGTAGTGAGTGTGTATCCTGGGCAGGATATCCTGTAAGCACTGCACTGCCAGTGTTTGGGGTAGTTGTTCCCAATAGTGGGTAACTATTTTGGGACAGCATCAGTTACTTTTCTTCTCAAGGTCTTGCTGTTGGTAGGTGCTACCCATCCTGCAGCTCCTTGAAAGACAGCTTTCCCAGTGCTCAAACCTGGGTCCCTAATCAGGATTGTGCCCTTGCTTTCAGCTTTTTTTTTTTTTTTTTTTTTTTAATTTTTAATGTATTTGGTTGGTACAGGGTCTCACTACACAGTTTGGACTCATAGTGATCCTCCTGTTTTGAGCCTCCCAGAGCTAGGATTACAGGTGTGCGCCACTGCGCCTGGACTCTGGCGGGTTCAGCCTGCCCTGATGGTGGGGCTGGCGTGCCATGTGGTGCCAGGAATTGAACCGCGGTCCTTGTGCTTACCTGAGCTTGCCTAAGCAGACACTTTAGTCTGTTGTGTTATCTCACTGGTCCTGCTTTCAGCTTTTTTTTTTTTTTTTCGGAACCGGGGATTGAACTCAGGCCCTTGAGCTTGCCAGGGAAGCGCTTATTCCACTGAGCCATCTCCCCGGCCCGCGGTCAGCTTTTAAATGTGTCTGCTGGTTCTATCTTGGCACTACTTGCTGATTTCCAGTTTCTCTGGTCACTGATCTGTGAAGATCCCATTCATTGACTTTTCCCAGCAGGGTGAGGAGAAAGGTCAGCATCCGATCTCAGTGGCCTGGCTACCACTGTGATGCCGTCCTGTCCCCTCAGGGTGCTGGATCTTTCCCGGATGGACCAGTGCCGTACCTGGGATACAGTGTGTATTGCCATCCAGGGGAGCAGTGCTCACCTTGCTAAACTTCTGTGACGCTGGGTTGGATCTAAAGAGTTTCTCCTGTGGGCTGTCTTCGCATACCTGGCTTTCTTTGTCGTCCCTACTTCGGTGTCCCTGTTTTTCCTTATGCATCTTTCAAGCTTTTCACTTGCACTGCTGCTACCACATTTCCCGGAAAAGAAGACCTAACTGGAAAATAAGCCTCTCACAAACGCAGGCAGCAGAGAGACCACTCATCAGGGTTTTGTGTTGCAACTAGGCATGTAATTCCTGGGTGCAGGCAGGGAACAAAGAGAAGTGTGCTCCTTTTGTAGGGGAGGAAAGAAGGTAGGGCATATTAGGTGGAAAAATTGTAGTAACATCTTTGGGCAGAGTCCTCTAGTAAGCTTGTGCCCCAGTGGGCAAAGTCCTTGAAGGTCCAGGGTACATTTTTAGGTATCTCCAAATGTCCCCAGCATCTGCAAAATTGTTTGTACTATCTGAAGTCCTTTACAACATCCTGTGCCTGCTGGTGACAGCTTTGGTGCTAAGCTAGTTCCCTGCTGAGAATGTACTTCTGCTGGTAAGCAGACTGGGGGCTAGGAGAGCCAGGTCTGAGTTGAATCTTGCAAAGCCCTGGCACAACTTTTCAGGTATAAGCCAGATGTGTGTGTCTGTGTGTGTGTGTGCGCGCGCGCGCATGCCCTACACCTGTCAGCCAGACAAGTGCATTTTTTTAAAATTTATTTATTTATTTATTTATTTGTGTGTGTGTGTGTGTGTGTGTGTGTGTGTGTGGCCAGCTCAGCCCACCAGGGGGTGGGGCTGGCCGGCATGTGGTGCTGGGGGATTGAACTGCGGTCCCTGTGCTTTGCTAAGCTTCTTCTGAGTAGGTGCTTTAGACCACTGAGCCATCTCACCAGCCCCTGACAAGTACATTTTTGTATCCATTGCAACACTATGAATGGATAAGTACTAATACTATGTAATGTGTTTGTAAATTATTAGTACATTAATACTTAAGTGATACTTATTCGTAAACACCCAAGTGGGAGCTTTTGTAAGATAGGTAAATTCCTATGTAAAAAGACGAATTTGAAACTTACTGGTTTTAAGGTTTGTTTTCTAGAATGTTCACTTCTAACATAAATATTTTTCTCACATAATTACATATTGTGTTAATATTAGCATGTCTTGAGAAGTTTAGAACTTGAAGCTAGTTGGAACGCAGACAAAAGTATCTTACGCACTTGATAATGTTCAGTGTGGTTGTGCTCTAATATGACTTCGTAATTCAATACATCGTGTGTTGTAGTGTACGTACTTTGTACTCTTGTAGGAAATGTTTTTTGAACATCCACGGGTTTTACTATGTAGCTTTACATGAATCCTCTGCCTCAGCCACCTAGGTGCTAGAAAACTACAGGCATTCGCCACTGTGCTTGGCTGTTTTCTAAACTTTAGTGACTGCAATTTTTTTTTTTTTGTTTTTTTCTGTAGACCATATTCTTTTTTTTTTTTTTTTTTTTTTTTTTTTTTTTTGAGTCTGGGTCTATGTAGGTAGATAGGCTGGCCTCAAACTTGCGGTGATCCTTCTGCCTCAGGCTCCTAAGTGCTGGAATTTCAGGTGCGCACCACCATACCCCTTTTGTTTTTGTTTTGAGACAAGTTCTCATGAACGAACTTTCTTAACTGTCACCATTTTTGTTGCCACTCCTGTCTCTTAAGTTTTCAATTAATACTTGATTTAATGGAAACTTTGTGAAGCCCAGCCTGAAAGAGGTAGTGAACAATTCATGGAATAAAATCACTCCACTGTGCTAGCAGCCGGCAATATGGACAAGAAGCGCTCATGAGAGACTTGGGCTAGAGGTTCTATAGGAAATGGAGTCACAAGAAATTCAGGGAAGAATTTGGGGTCTGGAGAGCTATGGTGATGTTTCAGAAGACAAGATGGTCATACTTGAGTACATGTAGATTTTTGTACATCAGTAAAGGTAGAATTTTGTTAAATCAAAAAGTGAAAAAAAATGCAGATTATCATACATGAAAAACCAAGGAATCTCCTAGATATAAGCTCTCTTTTATCTTTTCAAGCAAAAATTAATATAATATCCAGTGTTCTTTTGGGGGACATATGGCTGTTGACTGTAATGGACACAAACAAGGCGTATTTACTATATAGCCTTAAAGTAGACTTTTTAATTTTTTTTAGTAATTTTTAAAAGTATAATCACATATTCTCATGTTCTTTTTATTGATGTAAGTTTTACTCATGCAACCTGGCAACTCAGTTTTAACACATTACTAGAGGTTTCAAGATTGTATTTCCAATGGGCCTCTTTTCTTTTCAGCAGGCATATGGCTACAGTCCTTACGGTGCTGCATACCCAACAGGAACTCAGATTGTCTATGCTGCGAATGGGCAGACGTATGCAGTACCCTGCCAGTACCCGTATGCAGGTAAATCATCCCAGCCTTCCGCACCTTGTTTCTCATCACAGAAGAGTTTGTATTTTTCAGTTTAAGGCTAAGTGAACTGCATTTTATGTTAACTTTCTACTACTGTGGTTTTAATTTTTTAAGAAAACTTTTTGTATTTTTATACTGCTTCATAAATCTATCGTGGTCTTGATTTTTAGAAATTAAATTTAGCTATTGTGTGGAGATTAATTGCCAAGAAGATGATTAAACTCACTGGGTTTTCATTTATATCAAGAAGCAACTCGGGGGCTGGTGAGATGGCTCA